GCCAGACTTAAACACCTCACATTTCTTTGAATCACTTTCAAATTTAAACATTCCTTAAATCATAAACATATACATCGTGCATTACAACTAATCCTCATAACAGAGCTAACACATATTGTAAGGTCAAAAATAGAGATTCATTAAAGTAATTAAAAATCTAATTAAAACAAATAAACAAAAAATTCCCCCACTTCAACTAAAACTAAGTGATAGTAATGTTATACACAATAGAGTTGTGTGTATTATCAAACAAGTTTTAAGGTCATCCCAGAGAGTGTTACTGTGTTCAGTATGATTTACATTAGTATGACTGACATAGCTGTTTATATATATAAAGGAGAAACTGAGATAGATTCTACGTAAATAAAGTCAATCCTCGAATCTCAAACTCCATGGGACTGAGAAGAAACCTTGAGATATCCAAGGTTTCAGATATTGAGGGTAAAATACTTAAAAAAGGCTTGGGACTTCCAAATCACTTCAACATATCCATGATATTTGAGATTTCAGATACTGAAGTTCAACTGTATTACATTAAACTTGTTTTACATTATCTGAGATGCATGCTTAATTAATTAGGTAAATAATGACCTACTTTCTAAGAGTTTGAGGTCGTGAGGATGAAGATTTGCCTTCTCCCTTTCTGATGTCACCCTCAAACGGACATCACCTAAAATTAAATCAGTATTTCTGAAATTGATTGTAAGGCATGGCAAAAACAAAGAAATAGAAAAACACTGAATATTCTCATGAATATTCATAATTCCAGAAAATGAATATCCATGACACTTCCAAGAAATATCACTGACACTAATAAAAATATCTGGTACTATCAATCACTGAAATATGGGTTATCATGATTATATGTCAGATATATAAAAATTCTGCATGCATTAAAAACCTCTGACAAAACACTAGAGGGACATTATCACTAGATAACTAGGAATCAATGGACTTACCCAGCATTCTGACATAAATAGCATTGTTATCGTCCTGCCCAAAGGATATTCCGCCTCGTCTCTGAAACCATAAAAAAATATTATCTAATCATAACGTAGTAAGAGAACAAGCACGATCAAATCCGCAAATGTACCAGTACAAGAGTTAGAGACAAACAAATGAATATATGAAACAGTGTCCAATGTACCACTTCACCATTTTATAAACACATTATAAGCATGATGCATGTGAACAATTTACACGTGAAAAATTTATCTTTTCCGGAGATGACATTAGCACCCAATCTACAACAACAGCCTATAAGGAATAATCATATAAATGGTTGTAACGATTTACCATTTTCATCTATCATTTACATTGTAAATTATTCTATTCAACATATTATTAATAACAAATATTAGACCTTTAGTGAAAAAAAAAAATCATTTATTACATAATAATACATGTATACCTGCTGTTCAAATGGGTTCACTCAGTTTTTAATTTTGAGATGACCTTGACCTTGTGTATTTACTAAGTCATCAGGACTTGATACATTGGGAAGTTCAGAGAGCCACTTGTTTATTGAGATCTAAGGTAAACATTTACCTACTTGGTGAAATATTCAAGGGCAACAGTTACAAGGTGACGATGTAACCTTGGCAGAGATTGGCTGATTATTGACATGGTTGGCTAGAAATGATCAGGATCCATTAAAACCAGACTTGATGGTTACACCTTAATTTGCTTTGCACTGGGTAATTGGTAGGTCTAGCAGTAGTTTTGATATTGGAGTTTGGTTGTTTACCAGGGGTTATATTAATGTTCTGACAAATTGTTACCTACCAACCACTTAGGCTTCGCATCTGCCTATTCTTAGTTTTACATCGTTAATTCTTGCGCCTCGGACAACTTTCCATTTACTAACACACTATACTTTTAGACTATTGTACTTAAGTTGACAATACCATTCCTTCATTAATATATAGAATCAAGAGCATGGCACACTCAAATTAAGAAAATTTTCACTCTTTCAGTTCTCAAATGTCACCTCAAAAGTTCTTTTAGAACAGAAAGTGCATTCCATTTGTAAGGAACCTTGTGTCCGCTAACTTATTGTAAACTTGAGGACACTGAAACCTGATCCATAGGAAGTGTAAAATCAGTGGTATCAATCAATTCACATTACCACTTCAACTCCCACACAGTGTGCATTTAATACAGGAAATCAGGGACTGATCCTTAATGTTACACAGAAAAAACGCTTCACACCACTACTACATTGTAAATCACCAAGGGCAGAGCTACTCACATCTTTATGATATTAATTTGATGATCTGCTTACTTCTGTCAAATCACTTCTCAATATCTTCCACAAGTCATTTGAAAGAATATGTTTTAAAGGCAGCTTGCTAACAAAAATCCATTTGAAGTGAGTCAAACTGGAAGTAATTTCATGGCTTTGAATTTTTTTTTTGAGGAAAAAATAAATTAAATCACACTTGTTTTACGTGGTACAGGGCATTCATCCCCCGAATCACAAGCCCAATGCAGTGGTTTCTTCTCTGGTAACAGTTGGACGTTTACCCAAAATGTTACAATATCTAGGTCCACAAAGACGTCATATCGCTGGCTCAGGGGGCACCTGCTATGTATCGTATGATATAATGGCCTTTCTGAAGTCTGCCGCTATTTATCTCAAACCATTGACAGGGATCTACTGCTAGGCCCAAAGTTAAAAAGCCCATCAAGGCAGGTCCCTTACCTGGATTTAAATGTCCTCATATACTTCTTTAAAAATTGATAAACAGGTGAAACAAAATTGACAACTTAATGCTATACTAACTAAATGGAGTCATTTTTGAGAAAAAAAATTTTAAAACTGGTTAATGGAGAGCTTAATGTAACTGTAGCCTGTAGTATTTCTGTAGTTTATTCTACAGTACAGGGCTTCTGTCTGCATCAGAGTTTTTGACAGTTCCTTCATCAGTGAGATCAATCATATATCACTTTATGACTAATGACACTTAATGCAGGGGAACTCAGGCATTATAATATATATTCAATCAGCTCATATGTAAAAAGACTTCATTACAAATGGAAACACATATGTTTGATTACGTTAACTCCATAAATCATCTTTCAATGAGGCCTACATACATATGCTGGGAACTGAACTCTCTCCTTCAGACACAGAATTAACCAAACTCCCTTATCAGAATCTGCATTAATTTGTCCTGCCTCACTGGGAAATATTTGCATTACATCAATCAAATCTTCACATCATCTTAAGATTCACACTAAGCTAAATCAATACAAGATAATAGTTTTTGAGCAATAAAATTGCATGCTTTCTCAGATACAGATAATAAAATCTGACCTTTACACACTTCCTAAGTAAATGTCCTTCTGTCAGCCTGAGGTCAGATTTTAATATAGTTCAGTATATACAGTGTACAGACATCTCTAGATATCTGCCAGAGATTTCACATACTGCCTCAAATTCCAATAAAGCTGAAACTCACACTGAGTATCTGAACCTTGAGTTACATCCCTCCTGATGAGATCAGTTTCTTGAGGACTGACCCGACTCCTACTACATGTATATGGATTGTCTTAATCCTGACCCAAACCAAACTGAATGTCTTGACCGAGTTCCCTGGCTGCTTCTCTTTTAGTCATGAATCAAATTTATCTCTGCACATACACACTAAGAAGCCACGGTGAACACAACATTCATCCCTCACTGCAAGATCTTCTCAACTAAAACAACAGGCCCGAAGGATCTCAAGCAAACGTTGACCTCAGCCCAACTCACCACAGCTCACCACACATCATTACAACCTCCTTCACTCATATTCTGCCCCTGTGTGCTGGGTTATTGATGACCCGTGATTGATTTATGCCTGTCCTCTCTATGGAGTTCATTAACTCAATATGGAATTTATTTTGAAAACTTAATCCTATCAAAAAGCTTTTACCTCTAATTCTATATCTAAAAATTGCTAGAGCTATAATACCATTGAAAATCCACCAAGACTTCCAGTGCAGGCATTGAATTAGACTGATTCTGATCGGCCCTGACTTACCTCTGTGTCCTCTGAATGTGAGTGAACCAGCTTAATCCTCCCCTGTATAACGGTCCACCGCTGTCTCCCACACACACATGTAGTAAAAGGCAGCATGGTCCCCCCTCAGCGGGCCTCCTAACCCTCCCCTCCCCCCAACAACATAGTTCCCTTCTCTGACAAGGTTAGATAAGGTTCCACAATATTATCACCACTGGGTCAACACTAAGTGACTGGGGGAGCCTTATCTCCTGAGGGCACCTGCTGGACTCATTGTGGTCAGTTTGTGTGTCCTTGGCAGGTCAGTGGAGGATTTCATTAAGGTTCTCCCTCTGTGCGACACATTGTACACTGGCAGAGTCAAGATTAGAACACTCTCTTTCTCTAGCCAGTCTGATAATGGAGAAAACACAACACACACACTCTCGTAGTCTGACCTGACTGGGAGTGGGGATTTATCAAAATATTCACTACTGCTTCTGTTACACAAGCACATTTATTTCTTACACACTTACTTCTACTGGTCCCTGATATCAGGAGAGGGAAAAAATCCAGATTACAACTCAATCCCCAGCTGTATAAGTTTTAGAATTCAGGCAGGTGCTCCAAGTAGTGGAGGCCTTAGCTGTAGTGAGACTCCGTGTAATGGCTATACAGTAATGACCATCAGGTGTTTCAACATAAATGGAAGTGATTAACACTGTACTATCTCTGATGTTTACTTCTGTAGTTCCATGTCACGGGAGGACCAACACTTGTATGACCCCCTAGAAACAACACCTTGTCAGATATAAACCCATCACAACAATTATCAAACATAACAAAAAAATTCTTCTTACCAATGTACTGGCATTTGATTTTGGAGATTATTTTCCTGAATTTTTATTATATCTTATTCCTTTTTTAAATAAACATGAATGAAATAATAGTAATTAATTATTATACTTCATATATAAATTGAGACAAATATAATGCCATGATTCAATTCATAAGTACAAAGAGACTTATACTTCTGCCTATTTCCTCTGTTTTCATCATTCATACTTCCTGTATAATGCTGTTCTCATGCGTTAACATGCCTTTAAATACACATCATAAGAC